CCTCTCTCTCAAATAAATAGATAAATAAATAAATAAATAAATAATCTTTTTAAAAAATGAGATCTTGCCATTTGCAGCGACATGGATGGAACTAAGTATTATGCTAAGTGAAATGAGTCAGTCAGAGAAAGAATGATCATATATGATCTCACTCATATGTGGAATTTAAGAAACAAAACAAATGAGCAAAGGGGGGAAAAAAGACAAAGAAACAGACTCTTAGCTACAGAGAACAGACTGATGGTCACCAGAGTGGAGGTAGGTGGGAGATGGGGATGAAGGCGTGCACCTGTTGTGATGAGCACCAGGTGACGTATGGAATTATTGAATCAGTGTATCATACGCCTGAAACTAACATTACACTGTATGTTAACTGGAATTTAAATAAAAACAATGAAAAAATATTTAATCATACATTTTAAGTGAGTGTATTTTATGTAATTGTATCTCAATAAAACTGCTCTTGCGGGGCTAGGCGGCTCAGTCAGTTAGGTGTCCGACTCTTGATTTCTGCTCAGGTCATGATCTCAGGGTTGTGGGATCAAGCTCCGTGTTGAGCTTCATGATGGGCATGGAGTCTGCTTAAGATTCTCTCTCTCCCTCTCCCCCTTCCCCACTTCAAATAAATAAATAAATTTTTTTAAAAACCTGCTCTTAAATAATTTTCAGCTCACAAAGCTGTTTTGAGGGGAAAAAAATGAAACACCTTCTATATATTTTTTAAAATCTCACAATGGAGGGGCGCCTGGGTGGCTCAGTTGGTTAGGCGGCTGCCTTCGGCTCAGGTCATGGTCCTGGAGTCCTGGGATCGAGTCCCGCGTCGGGCTCCCTGCTCGGCCGGGAGTCTGCTTCTCCCTCTGACCCTCTTCCCTCTCATGCTCTCTATCTCTCAGATAGATGAATAGAGTCTTAAAAAAAAAAAAAAATCTCACAATGGTGCCTGATAAAGCCAGGCTGTTGCCAAATGTTAGGCCCCTACTCCAGTTCTAATTTCCCTACTTAGCCTACAATACCCTCCTCCTTCCCCGTCACTCAGACAAGAAATCGCCTTCTGGAGCCTTCCATTATCTGGCTTTTTACTCTTTTTAATCACGTCGCTGTCAGATTTGGGTTCCTTGTGAGCTGGCTGGAACTCTGATTTTCAGGGGCCCTATGCACTTTGTATTGTAGACTCTTTCCTCTGGGGGAAAATTCTATTTTTACAAATGTATTGGTATCAAAACGAATACAGCAACTCCATATGTTTTCCTCAACCTAAAAGTTCCATTTTTTTCCTTCTGATTTTAAAACATTTTCAGAGCACCTGGGTGGCTCAGTCAGTGAAGTGTCTGACTCTTGATTTCAGCTCAGGTCATGATCTTGGGGGTCCTGAGATGGTAGCCCTGCTAGGGCTCTGGCTTAGTGGGGTCTGCTTCTCTCCCTTTGCCCCTCCCCCCACTCTAATTCCTGCACAAACAAGTAACTCTTTAAAATAAAACGTTTTCATGGGCCTTTGTGGTGGGCTGAATGGTGGCCTCCAAAAAGGTAAATCCAGGGCGCCTGGTTGCCTCAGTCCCTGGAGCATGCAACTTCGGATCTCGGGGTTGTGAGTTCAAGCCCCACCTTGTAGAGAGATCACTTACAAACAAAATCTTTAAGGGGGAAAAAAAAAAAAGGTAAGTCCATGTCGTAATCCCTTGCACCTGGATATTCCCTCAAATGGCAAAGATGGGATTTGGTAAGGACTGGAAGAGCTTATCCTGGATTATTCCGGTGGGCCCTAAATGCAATCCCACCTCTCCTTTTAAGAGTGGGGCAGCGGCATTTCGGGGACAGACACAGAGGTCACGTGCAGTCGGTCGGAGGCAAATGGTGTGATGCAGCCACGAGGCTGGAAGGCGCAAGAAGGGTTTCTCCTCCAGCGCAGCCACAAGGGGTGCGGGCGGGTTCACACCTCGATTTCCCTCGTGGCCGAGACTAAGAGCGAGTTTCTGGGTCCTGGTCCCAGCAGGTGCGCGCTGGCTCGGGGCGTCCCGCGCCTCCCAGGGATGGCCCCTCGGCCCCCGCTCGGACTCTGCTGGGGAGCGGGAGCGTGCGGGCCCGCAGCGCTGCGGGAGAAGGACGGCGCGGCCGCAGCCCGGAGCGCACCAGCCTGGCTGCAGACGCGCAGCCTCCCAGGAGCCCTGCGGCCCGCGTCTGGCTCTCACTTCCCGGGGCACGGCACTTCTGGGGCGCTCCCGCATTCCTCGGTGAAGTCCCATTGGGCCAGGTTGGAGCACGTGCCCACGCCTGAGCCAATCAGAGCCAGAGCATTGCGGTGTGCTGATTGGCTGAGGCCTGGGTCGTGGGCGGTTCCCTGGCCCTAGGTGAGGAGCGTCCCGCAGGTTGGACTAGAGGAAGGTGCGCGGGAAATGTGTAGGAAACCCAGGCGCAGAATTGAGGTATCTACGACTTTCCTAGTGAACGAGGGTGCTCTGAATAATTGCCCAGGCCCCGCAGGCGCCCACCTGCTGTGCGGCTTCAGGAGGCGGGGTGCTTGGCCAGGCTCTCGGATCTCCATCTCTTCTGCCTCACCAGCTTTCTCCCCGTTACTGTCAACTGAGGGCCCACACTTACTGGGCACTCCCTGCATGCCCGGCCTGGGGCTGATAAAATGACATTCGGTCTCCATAGTACAACTCCAGGATGCAGGTGCTAGGTGCACAGCTGGGGAGACTGAGGCATGGAAACGCACAGTGACTGTCCACTGTCATGCAGCTTGTAGGTGGGGACGCTAGGATTGCAGTCAGGTCCTCAACCTCCACAGCCTTTGTGCGTGAGTACCCGTTCTGTCCTCAGTGAGTAAAATCCGCTATGGAAGACACCACCAAAAGGGAGTCTTCCCTTTAGTCCACCGAGCGACCCACACACCGCTGCACCGTGTGTAGTAATGATGGACGGGAAAACCCTTGAGTTCTTTCTCTCTGACCCCCGCTGTTCCCCCCGTGCATATCTGGTTCTTTCCCACCTCTGTGCCTCTGCTTGAATTTCTCCCTGTTCCTGGGACCCCTTTCCTAACTTTTTTTTTTTAACCCCCTTCTCCTGCTTTCTTTTAAAGCCCCCGCTGAAGCGCCATCTCACTGACATCACCTCAACTTGATGGTGCCTCAAATGTACCAAGTCAGTGTTCTGACTGACCCCTCCATCTGGGCTCTTCTGTCTTCCCCCTCCTGACCTCCCTCCATTTTCCTTGTCTGAGCATCTAGGCAGGGGCTAGGGCCATCCTTTTGTAAGGAGAGCTTTCAGACTTTAGAATGACAAAAGTGATTATTGGATATTCTTTCAACAGAACTCAGGAGCCTCTGATAATCATTTGATTCCATGGGCTGTGTGCCTTTGTTTTTGTCTGCACTATATCACACTTCGGAAGAAAACAGACAGCAATGCAAATAATTCTTGTCTGTAGATACACAAATTAGCTGAGTGTAGTGAAATACAGTTGACTATTGCCCTATGGATAGACTGGTTTTTGCAAACTCATTTCAGCGGCCCCTCGGCTTCTCCTTTGATCAGCTGCAACATCTTACTGCTTCGTTCGTTATTAGGTTACATAAAATCTTTGACATGCGTTCACTTTACAGGTATATGTGTTTGAAAATCACTTTATTTTTTAAAATTATCCTTTGACACCTGACATCTCCTTCCCCACCCCTAATCCATCCTCAGACATGACAATTTAACTTTCTCAATGTCTCTTGTACCCACTCGCTTCTCTCCATCTTACTTGCTGCCACAGGTTTGCCTGAACTGGCTGTCCCAGGCTCCTACCTGGCTGTCTTCCCATCTATTCCCCACACAGCAGCCAGAGGGCTCTCATTATAATTCAGACTTTATGATGTCTCTTCTCTGCTTAACTTCCTCTAAGGACTTCCTATTTATTTTAGAATAAAGATCAAGGTCCTTGCTGTGCCCTGCCAACCTCTACATGACTTAGCCCCATCTTCCCCCACTGCCCTGCTTCATCACCCTACTTCTGCTACTCAACTTTCTTCAGTTCCTCTGCCTCAGGGCCTTTGCACATGCTGTTTTCTCTGCCTGGAGAATTCTTCCCTCCTGACCCCCTTACTTATACTTGGCCTTCAGATCTTGGTACAAATGTTAATTGCCCACAGAATCCTTCTCTGGTGAGTTAAGGTCCCACATTGTCCCCAGGACAATTTCACAACACTATTTACTTCTTTACAGCATTCATCTTGTTTCCTAATTACATTATCTGTGTGATTATGCCTGACTTCCCTTCTAGGCTGGAAGGTCCCTGAGAACAAGGTCCATATTTATTTTGCTGACCATCTATTCTTGATACATATATGGCCTTCTCTGGATGGATAGATGGGTGGATGGATGGATGAGAGATGTCTGACGGATGGGTAGATGAATGAAGAGCAGATGGATGGATGGAGACGGATGGATGATGCACCGATGGATGGATGGATGGATGGATGGATGGATGGATGGAAGATGTGGCTGATGGATGAAGGTTGGGCAGATGGATGGATGGATGGATGATGCATGGATGGGTGGGTGGAAGAATGGAGGGTGGGTGGATGGATGGTCGGATGGGTGGATGATGAAGATGCTCGTCCCCTAGCTGACTGACCATTACAGTCACCTCCTGTGAGTCCACCTTGCCTGGCTCAGTTTCCCTTTCTCATCCGGTGCAGTTCTAGGAATCCTAGAGCACCCCTGGGAGCATCTGCCCTTGAGCACAGGCCGAGCGGGCGCCCCCCGCACTTAACTCCGTAAAGAGTTGACTTCGTTTTCAGGTCGGCTCCGCAGCCCGCGCACTGGCGGAGCTCGCGCCTGCGCCAGCGGAGGGCGCAGCCCGTGCCACGTGGGCGCCGGAGGCAGCTCCGGCCGGAGGGGCCCTCCAGCCGAGCTCCCAGGGCGCCCGCAGCCAGCCGCCCACCCGGAGGGCCTGGGGCGGGGCCTCGCCGGGACCCGGATGCGGCCCCGCCCCCCCCCCCCCCCCCCCGCCGCGGAACCGGAAGTGGAGCCGGGCGCTCGGGAGCAGCGGGCGCGGCGGAGCTAGGGCCGGGCCGGACGGACCCCAGGCTGCGGTGAGCGAGCGCGGCTTCCTCCTGGCGGGGCTGTGGGGGCGGGGGGCGGGGGGCGGCTCCTCTGCCGGCTGCCCTGGGCGCCGCCAGCCCCGGAATGGGAAGGAAGCGGCGGTCGCTGCGGTCTCGCTGCTCTTCCGCTCGCGGTTTCGGGCGCGGGGGGGGGTGGGGCGCGGGCCGGTCGCTGGGCTCCGAGAGGAGGGCTCCGGGCCCTGAGGGGGAGGGGGTCCGAGGGGGAGAGGCTGGGGCTGCGGGGAGGAAGGGGGACCGGAGGGTCAGACGGGGGGAGGGGTCCTCCGTCTGAGTGCAGGGTGCCTGGGTCCCTAGGGGGGAGCCGGTGAGAGCCGAGGGAGAAAGACCGGGGGTCTGCGCGGGGCGGGGTCGGCTGGGGTCCGAGTGGCCGGGGAGGGAGGCTTGGGCCCTGGGAAAGGCCGAGGTCGGGCAGGGTGGGGCCGGGGTCCGAGGGGCCGGGGTTTGGCGGGGAGAGGCCTGGGGCCGGGGAAGGGTCAGGGTCGGGCGGGGAGGGGCCGGGAGTCTACGCCTGGCGGGATCCGCGGGTGTCCTAGGGGCCGGGGGTCCGGGGAAGGGCCGGGGTCCGGGGTTTTCCGGTGGCCCGCACCTACGGGGAGGTTCTGCAATCAGGTCAGTTGGAATGCAGCGACACGCGCAACTGCGGCTAGTTGAGAGGCTCTAAATTTGGAGCAGCCCCTCCTCTGGGTGTGTTGGAAGTCACCAGAAGGGTTCTTTTGGGCTGCTTGTTGTGTTTCCATCTCTTGAATATTACGGGACCTCGATCGCCCGACTGGAGGGTCGGGAGAAGAGGGGACAGGGCTTCCTCGGTCTGGAATCTGTGGACGAGTAGGGCCTCTGGGGGAGGAATCCCATTTTCTGCTGACCGCAGCTCTGGAGGCATCCCGAGTGGGCGCTCCCCTCCCTGGGACCGCCCCGCCAGCGCCCCATTTGGGTTGCGGCGGCTTGGCCCTGCTGTGCTCTGTCAGGGGTTAACCCCCTGGGTTCTGGCCGCCTGGTCCGGCCCAGCGGGCTCAGGGCTGGGAAGGGCTGTGCGTTGGGCAGGCCCCTGCTGTCCCTGCCCCCCTCTGACGGTGGGGTGAGTCACTGCCCCAGTGTGTGGAGGCAGCCCTGTCTCTCTCAGGGAAGCACTCCCATATCCCCAAGGAGCCGGAAGAGTCCTAAAGGCCACTTTCCGGTGCTCCAGAATAAGAATAAAGAGGGAGGGGGCTGCAGGGTTGTTTTTGATACTTTGTCTCCCAGTTCCTGCCGCTGACTTTTGGGTGGATCATTTTGATGGGCTTATCTTTAAAGCACATCTAAGTGGTTCCGATTGGTGATTCATCTTTGTTGGGTGCGGGGCAGCCCAGGTAGGTGCTCAGAAAGGGTGTGGTCGAGGGGCCTGAGTCATTGGGAGCACGGGGACTGCCTGGTGTGTTCCCCCGGGGGGGGGGGGGGCCCGCCGGACATGGCCTCCAGCACTGGCCTCGTCTTTCAGGTTTGCCCGTGTGCAGGCTGGTGCTCTGAGCAGACCCAGGGGAAGCATGCCCAGGTGCCAGGGGGCTTTTCTTAGCAGAAGTGTGGCATGAGGAGTGGGTCTCCGGGCAGCTGTTTTGGCTCCTCTGGGCCTTGTTCTCTCTGCTTCTCTGCTGCCCTGGCAATTGTGACCTTAATGGGAAGCTAATTCTCTCCCATCATCTAGAACCTTGTCCTGTAGAGTTTTCCGCTCGGTTTATATGGCAGCGTCCAGTGACGTCACACTTGTGTGGTCTTGATGAGTGAGTACGTGTGACGTTTGCAAGGAAGGTCTGTTAATGGTGAGGGTTGTTTTCCGTTAACAATTTTATTTGAGATGCAATTCACATACCGTATAATTCACGCGTTTAAAGGGTACGATTCAGTTGTTTTGTTGTATATTCACACAGTTGTGCAATCATCATCACAATCCATTTGAGAATAATTTTATCACCTCAAAAAGGATCCCTGTTACCTCCTTCCAATACTAGGTAACCACAAATCTACTTTTTGTCTCTCTAGATTTGCCAATTCTGGACATTTCATGTAAATGAGACTGTATGATACCTGGGGTTTTGTGTCTGGCTTCTTTCCCTTAGTGTGTTTTCGGGAGTCATTCGTGTGGTAGCGTGCCATCAGGCCTTCCCTCCTAGGTATTGCCAAATAACAGTCCACTGCATGAATGGATCACATGTACCTGCTGCATCACGTGGGCATTTGCGTTGTTTTTGCTTTCTGGCCATAATGAATAATACTGCTGTGAGCATTCCTGTGTGAGGTTTTGTGCAGACATAAATTTTCCTTCCTCTTGGGTCTGCCTCTGTGGGTGGGGATCCCTGGGCCACGTGGTAACCGTGTTTAACCTTTTGACGACCTGCCACACTGTTACTCATTTTACTTCACACCAGCACTGTAAGGCGGTTCTGGTTTCTCCACACCCTCCTCAAACTTGTTATTGTCTGATTTTTGATTTTAGCCATCCTAGAATGAGTGTTGTGGTAGCTCACTTGTGGTTTTGATTTGCATTCCCTTCATGGTTAATGATACCCAGTATCTTTTTGTGAGCTTAGTAGCCATTTATTCATCTTTGGGGAAATGTCTGTTCAGATCCTTTCCACCTGGTTTTACAATGTGGTTAATTGTCCTGTGGTTAATTGTCCTGTTTATTGTTGAGTTGTCAGAGTTTTTTCTTTATTTTGGGTATATGATCTGAAAACATTTGTTTCTCTCATTCTGGGAATTGTCCGGAGTCTCTTGCCGGTGTCTTTTGAAGCACACTGTTTCAAATTTTGTCCAATTTATCTGTTATTTCCTCTTCTCGCTTGTGCTTTTAGTGTCACATCTAAGAGCTGTTGCCAAATTGAAGGTGATGAAAATCTATGCTTATGTTTTCTTGTGAGAGTTTAATAGTTTAAGCTTAGGTTTGAGATCTTTGACCTGTTTTGGGATTAATTTTTGTATATGGTGTGAGGTAGGGAGCCAAAGGCATTATCTGTCCTTGGGTCCAAAAACATACCCAAGCTTTTACATTTTCAGTTATCTTTGTGATTTTTTTTTTATTTAAAAACTTGAGGGGGTAATAAATTGTTGTAGATTTGAGGCTCTCACTAGCTGCCCTTGGGTAGATTTTTATAGTTGCTTGCCGATTACAGTAATAACCTCAGTCCCTAGCATATACTAAGCAGCCTACAGAAGTTAGGGTTTCCAGAGGGGTCTGAGGAGAGAGAAGGAGTGAATAGTAGGGTCAGGAACTCGGTAGGAAATGGAGTGTAGGGAAGGCTAGCAAAGCACCATCCCTCCAGTTGCTAATGTGTGACAAGGCTGCAGGCTGACGCACGCGGCTCGTGCTTGTGACTGGCTTGTTCCTAGGGAGCGAGGGGACCGGATTCCTCCGCTCTGTAATGTTTAGCAGTACAGTGCCGGTGGAAGTTGTTGTCTCGTCCTCGGGAGAAGGTGGTGCGTCGGTGGCCCAGAGAAGTGGAGTCTTGATCTCTGTGCAGTAACCGTATCCGCTCATTAGAAGCGCCGCCCGTTCTGCGCTGCTCCTGCGTCACCCCACTTCTCATCCAGGTAGCCGTCACCGTGTGGCTTTTGTCTCCCAGCCACATCGTGATCCCTTCGGAGTTTTCCTTATGTTATTTTTTTAAACTCACAGTAATAGAATTTTATTATTTTTAGCAAAGTCATAATTTAAGAATGAGCAAAGAACGGAGACGTGTCAGGATCATAGCCAACAGAAGATGTCTGCTAGTGATTGCAACAGTAATTTCTGTTTGCATGAAGAAGAAACTTTATACAGCTATAAGTCTTTTGAAACTTGCTATTTTCTGTATTTTCTCAATGTGTCTGAAAATCGATTGAGCTTTTAGGTTTGTAAGATGCAAATCTTGCCATCCTCCTTTCAGATTTCTTTACAAAGCCTCGTGAAGCGTGGGAGGATGTCAGAGTTTCCTGAAAGGACCTGTGCATACAAGGATTTGCCCAGACTGCCTGTCAGTAGACATCCTTCTGAGCTTTTTACTCTTCATCTTTTTGCAGACAGAATCCACTCCCAAATGCCTGGAAATTCCTCACTGGATCACTGGGCTTTCCACAGAGATTCGTGAGCAGCCGTTCATCTTCAGCCGGAAAGAAAGGTTTGTGCACTGTGAGCATTCTAATCTTCTCTCCCGTCGGACTGTCAGGGTGGATCCCTGAGCAAGGAAAGGGGTGGGTGTTCTCCCTTTGGGTGTGCAGAGATAGGGACGGGGGGAAGTTGCATTGTTTAAAAAGTAAAGTCAAGGGGTGCCTGGCTGGCTCCATCAGAAGAGCATGCAACCCTTGATCTTGGGGCCTTGCGAGCCCCACGTTGGGTGTAGAGATTACTGAGAAATAAGTAAGTTAAGTAAGTCAGTCATTCCAGTTTCCAGTGTTGCCTGCGGTTTAGAAATAGCAGCGGGTTCCAGAAAACTCTGGAGTGGAGGAAGAGGAAACATCTCTGTCCTGGGGGGAGCCGTCTGGCATCTTGCACCTGTGCTGTGGAAGGTGGGAGGGGCTGCCCGGCAGGATGGTAGGAAGCAGGTACCAGTGCTCACCTCGTCCTCGGAGGCTGGCTTCCAGAAGGACCAGTGAAGATGGGCTCTGCTGTGTTCTCCAGATGAGTCTACAAAAGCAACGGCCAAGACCTCTTTCACCTTTGCCTGAGGGGGAAATGTAGCCTCGCTGGTCCTCCCCAGAGACCCTGTCCTTCTGTGTGACCATGTCCTCAGTGGTTGGAACCTCAGTGGCTTGAACTATGGGCTGCTGAAGTCCCACAGTTGGGTGGCCCCTTTCTAGTGTGGTGACATATGGGGCACACTTGACTGGGAGCGGCAGACTGGGCGAATCAACTTTCGGGCAGCTGTCCCTGCATTTGTAAGTGGGCGCATGGAGATGGAGCATATCTGGTTGCTCCTCTCAGGGCTGAGGGTTTAGTCTGTTTGTTCTCTAAAATCGTGTCAAAAGGGGATTACATCTGGGAAATTCTTGCCGTGCCTGGGACAGCCAGACAGAGGAGAGCAAGGTTTGCGGTGGCCTTGGGGACAGTGTTGATTCTGCCTTACCCAGGATCAGGTGACTGCTCAGGTGACAGCAACAGCAATCCCATCTGGGAGCTTGAGAGCGCTATGAGGCGCCCCTCACTACCACCTTGAATTTGGACTCGACACCCAGCAGAGCTGGGGAGGGGGTGGTGCGGATAGAGATGGGAGTTTCTCGGGCTTGTGAGGGGCTTCTGTCCTGTCTGAATTCAAGCCACAGAAGCTTTCGGTTGATCGAGTTAAAGTAATCTTCCAGGTGCTTCCTGGCCTAGGTGAAATTTTATTAATACTTCTGGGGAAAAGGAGTCCGTTCTTCTCAGACATTATTTTCTCTTGAAACTCTTAAAGATTAGATTTTATCTTTGGAGTTAGGAAAAGCCTTGTGCTGGGCAGCTGTGAAGCCGTCATCCTCTGTGTCAAGTGAAACCATCCGCTGGGGCGGAAAGGCGACAGGCCGTTCTCGGGGCTGCCCAGTGTGGGAAAGGTTTACAGTTCACGTCCCGGGTACTTCCCCAGATAGATGGTGAAGCGACCCTCTCGTTAATCACTTGAAACATTTGTTCACTTGTCAGAGTCTGAGTTAGGGAAATCACTGTTAAATGTCCAGTAAGTTCTAGAAATCAAAATGGGTACTTTTTTTTTTTTTTTTAAACTGTGGTAACATAGGCTTTACACTCACAATGTGGGGTGCTCTCCTGTTTGGTCAACGCTGTTGTCATGACTCAGTGCAGGATGGATGTATTCTTAATGAAGTAAACGCATGCGTGACTTTTTTATTTTCCAGAAGATGTTCTCATTTGAATTGAAACAGTATTTCCAACGGGTATTTCAGATGCCACTGGAGAACAGTGCTAGAAATGCAGTGTTCTGTTTCTTTTCTTTGTGGTGTTGTGGTCTGCGTGCGGGGCTGGTGGATCCTCCCTCGCCGGCGTGGCTGCGCCTCCCCGAGCCAGGTCGGAGTTGGGGTGCTGGGGGCCGGGAGCCACCGGCTCGGCCTCCGTGACCCCGCACACTGCTCTTTCAGATGTGGAAGGCTTCGGCGGGCCATGCCGTGTCCATCACCCAGGACGACGGGGGCGCCGATGACTGGGAGACTGACCCTGACTTCGTGGTATGAGTCACCAGCCCACCTTGGCTGTACTTCTCCCGAAAGTGGCTTTCCTCTGCTGTTCCTCTGGGTTGTGTGAAGTCTGCTGATCGTTTCTTCTTCTTTTCAGAACGATGTGAGCGAGAAAGAGCAGAGATGGGGGGCCAAAACCGTGCAGGGCTCTGGGCACCAGGAACACATCAAGTAAGAGACTTTCTTCCTGTTGGCGTGAAATTGGCCCCCTGAAAAGCAGACAGCAGATGGGGCAGGGGCCCTGGCCTCTGTCCCTCATGCGGTTCCTCCGTCCGCTGTGCGAGAAGACTGTAGGACACGGTGACATACTTCTGCACGAGTCTTGTATTTACGATTCCAGAGTCCACTCTTCCAGTAGCCGAAGTCTCCTCTCGCAGGACTCGGTCCCCTGCACTCCCTCTGCAAGTGGCTGGTCTCTAACACGCACCGTGTCTTTGAATGCCTTAGACCTGAAACATCCTCCCCCCATGATTTTCTTACAACTTTGCTACTTTATCACTGGCCTTTGGGTCCTGGGAGCTGGATTCTAGGCACTGTGTTCTCGCGAAAAGCCCAAAATAGGAGAACTGAGTGGTCGCCATTGTAGGAGAACATGGCCTTGTTCCTGACTTGGCCCTACCTTGACCTATCATCTCTCTCGGTGTTTCCTTGTCAAGAAGTGTAGATAAAAGCAACTTTTAAAATGCACTCAGACTTTAGTGTAGGCCGCGCTGGCTTCAGAACGTATCCACCCTTTCCCTGCTCATGAAGGGCCATCCCTAACTCGGTGACCTGTGGTGGCCATTTGCACCATTTGTCTCACTTGGCCCCACTCTCTCTCAGGAAGATGAAGCCGTTCTTGGCTGAGAAAGAGGTGGAAGATCGTCCATAAAAGAGGGTGAAGTCTGTAGTGTGGGCATTTTAGACACGAGTGTCCATTCCTCCCTGACCTGCTGCGCCCACACCCTCTGCAGAAGCCCGTGGAGGGCGTCGAGGGAGGGCCCTGGGCCTCCCTGGAGGGGAGCCAGCACCGTCGTGGGTTAGGCCGCCTCCCGAATGGGTTAAGTCACCTATCTGTCTACTCATTTTCTCTGTTCCCGTCGCTTTGAGACGTGTTGACCTTCATAGGAGCTCTCTGGTAGAGCAGCCCCTGGGACGGTTCTGGGTGCCCTGGGGTCCTTCGGGGGTAAGGAGCCGTGTTCTTGCTCCTTCTCCTGAGGGGCTTGGGGCGGGGGAGTGTGCCACTTCATGGTCTCCTGATGGTGACAGCTCCCTGACCTGCCAGGTTTTGACCACATCTTGTGATCTGTTTGATGATACCCAGCATTTCAAGTAAAAAATGGCTTTGGATGATAAATTCTGAAAGTCTTTCATTTCAGCTTTGGATATTTACAAAGCTGGAGTATTTCAAGTAAAGGGATGCTGTCTAAATGTTCTGCCTCACTGTCTTGGACCAGTGTCCTCAGGGTGTCTGGGGTAAGGGACTGCTGACTTTGTTTCCCCTTCTGCCTTGGGTTGGGGGGGCGCTCACAGAACTGGTTCTCCTAGTCCTGTTACCTGATGAAACAGAGAACCTTTTCTGTGTTTGAGAGAAAGTCCACGTTTCAGGATAGGTACTCCAGGGACTTGGGACGCCTCACTTGAGGTGCCCAGGTGGGTTTCTTTTTCCCCTTAAACTTGACTCGGAGAGCTGCTGGAGCAGGTGGGCCAGCAAGCAGAGGAGTCAGGAAAGCACAACGAAGGTGGGGATTTGGGGGCCCGGAATCACAAGATCGCAGGTTTGCAAGGATGATGTCCCCTGTCCTTGCGTGTCCTTCTCAGAGGTGAGGACGCGCTTCCGTTCTATCAGTTTGTTTTTATTTTCTCTCTTTCCTTCAAGCATACACAAGCTGAGAGAGAATGTTTTTCAAGAACACCAGACCCTCAAGGAAAAGGAGCTTGAAACGGGACCGAAAGCCTCGCACGGTTATGGAGGGAAGTTCGGCGTGGAACAGGACAGGATGGACAAGGTGAGGCCCGGCAGCTGTGTGGTGGTTCTCGATGAGCCCGTGGTCGGCAGAGCGGGGGCTCAGGCCTCCTTGGATTAAATGTTTTGAGTCAGTTTCTGGGAGCTGACTAGTAGTCCTCTGTTGATTGACCTGACTTGTAAACTGCTCCTGCTGTTTAGAAGCTCTCTTAGGATTCTTGTGGTTGCTGGGGTGTGGGTGACGTGTAAGGAGGCCCAGGGGGGCTCCGGGCTTTGGGAGGCCCGCCCCGTGACCCGGACAGAAGCCCAGAGGCATCTTGACTGCAGGTGTTGGCATGACCACTGCGCGCAGCTCAGCTTGCAGCCTAACCCAGACCGGTCTGTGGACCGGAATCAAATCCGGGGGCTCCCTCGTTTCCCGCCACAGGTGAACGTTGAGCCAGCAGGTGTGCTGACGTCCTTTGTGCATGAATGACCTTCACACACGAGTCTGGTGCTCCGTGTAACGCGGAGTCCCTGCCCACAGGCCAGGAGAGAACGCTTCCTCTGAGAACAGTGGGCGAGCCTCCCCTGAGCCATCACCGGTCAAGTGTAGGCATCTGGGGACGCGGTGTCAGCGTTGTTGTCTGAATACATCAGCCTTTGACAGCACTTTGAGTCTTCTCTGTCCTGTGAGGGAGCAGAGGAGCTCTGGAGGGCTGATGCTGCAGGAGAAGGCAGAGCAGGGGCCATTGTATCCCAGGCTTCTCCACTGAGGCAGTTCTTTACGTTCTCCAGACATCCCTGTAGACGCGAATTTCCCAGTCTGAACAACGTGAGATTGTTGTGACCCAACAGATGTCTGCCTTCATTCTGCGCAGAAGGGAAACCATGAGCTGATAGCGAGTTCTGGTCTGTAATTCCAGACCTGTCCCCCCCGCCGCCCCGCGCCACAAGCATGGATCGGATTCAGTGTCTGAGCTGACGTGGAGTGACACTGCTGGGTCACGGTGTACCTGTGGGCACCCCGAACCAGGTCCGATGTTTGCCTCAGCTGGAGTTGGACCAAGTGCGAGCTGCAGGAAAGACGCAGGGACATTTCCTGGTGTGACTGTCGTCCCCAGAGACATCTCAACAGGGAAAGCGGGGAGGAGAATCATCTTTGGATTCTAAAAAAAAGCCTGGTAGCTTTTTGCAGTGCAAACAGACAAAACCTCCACGTACTAGGGACAGTGAAAGAATCAAGTAGGTAGAGGCCTTTCCCACCCCAGACAAAGCCTGTGAGCGTGGGGTTGTGGGCAGTTAGAAATTCATTATCAACTTGGGCCCCCAGGTCTGGGTTGGAAAAGTGACACACTGGGGACAATAGAGTATCAAGGAAGCGCTCCATGGCAGGAGCGACACGGTGTTCACTTCTGGCCTCTGCTGCTGGTGGGACTGCCCCTCCCGCCCTCCCAGCGCCGGGCCTTCTAGTCGAGAAGCTTCCCTGAGGAGTCCCCGCCTCCCACCGGCCTGCAGCGGCCCTTCCCCTGTGCCTTCTCCCTGTTGTCCTCTGCTCCCCCTCCACATTGCCACCTTTCCGTGGAGGCTCTTTGGGGCTGAGACCTGTCCTCACCTGGTGCCTGGCCGGGTACTGTGAAGGCGCTCAGGGACGTCTCACGAGTGCGCATGCTGCACGTCTCTGGCCGATATGTTGGCGGTCCCCAGACGGCTCAGGGGAACACCCTCGTGCCGCTGGGGCTGATGGAATGGGTGGCGCCCCTTGAAGAGGAACCTGGTAGGGATGCTGATGTGGCTCGTGGTTCCTCCCTCCGTGCCTCACTGCACACGTAGGCGAGGCTAGCTTGCAGCTCCTGGGGGCGTGATTGGACCGATTGTCAGAAATAATGAAGATTCCCAAACCAAATAACTCTTACTTGCAACTTGTTCTCTCCAGAAGTTGGAAAAAGCCCTAAGATCTCTGTGTTAAGAGTTGAGGACAACACAATAAAGACTTTCAGATTAAGACCCATCTCGGGCAGGCACGGATTTGCCAGAGGGGTGTGGTCTGGGCAGGTGAGGCAGCTGCCGGCCCCTGTCTGTGTGGCTTTCAGGCCCCCTGCCCTTCACTCAGGGTCGAGCTGGCCGCGGCCTAGGTGGCAGGCCTCATTCCTGGTCTCAGCCACACCCCGGAACTGGAGTGTGCATCCAGACGGTGCCCTGCCCAGGGCTGACCTCTAGTTACAAACATGACTTTGTCAGTGGCGTCAATCCGTGTTGATGAACAAGTTTAGAAAAATTGCCAAGTTGTCACTCTGGCTACATTTTTAGAAAAGTTTTCTTAAAACTTTCACTTCTTTCTGCTGAGATTGGTGCTGGGGGACCCCTTCGGCAGGCTGCACCTCACAGTTGCCGTATCGGCGCTCTCTGGGGGGTCTTTGGAGGCTGCCGGTGGCCGGCGTGTCTCAGAGCTTGTTGGTCAGTACTGACGTTGAGCAGACTCAGGGCGAGGAGACAGGAATCCAAAGATTATTCTGCTTACAGGAAGACTCCACTGCTCCTTCCCCTGGGATACGGCCAGAACGGAATCCTGAGTTGCCTACGGAGGGTCAGCGGTGGGGCTGACCCTGCTTTAGTTCAGCCTGAACCCGGGTGTCCTGGTGGAGCTCCGGAGACAAGCAGCGGGCATTTGTGGGGTGCTTCCCGGGCGGTGTGACTGTCGGAGCTAGAAGGAGGGTTCAGATGTGCCGTCCCCGTGCTGTGTCACAGGGCCCCGCCATCCGTGGTCACTGTCCACTCTGGGGGCGGAGCCGGGTGCCGGGAGGCTGGGCAGGGCTGGGGGCTGCTCAGGGTTCGGTAGTAAGTGTGTTCAGCTTTGTGGGCCGTGGGGTCTCTTGCAATTTCCTGAATTTGGTGGCTGAATCTCAGAAGCGGCCTCAGTATGCAAATGAGGAGATGTAGCTGTGTTCTAGAGACTTTATTTACAACGAGCTGGGTGCCCGGTGTAGCCCAGAGGCCATGGTTGACGGGGTCTGCACGGCAGGCGGCTGAGTTCGCCTCCTTCGCCGAGGGCTGTGTGGGGACGCGGTGGCGCCCGCTCCTCGCCTGCACGGGGTGCTCGCTTGGTAGACTAGTGGCTGGATGTGTGTCGTAACGGAAGCACGCTGTCCGCAGTTCTGTCCGTTAGCAAGGTATTTCTGGTCCCCGTTAACTGCATCACGCGGTACCAATGTGCCTCGCTTCAGCCGGCAAGTAACTCGGGCCAGCAGTCCCCGTGGACAGGCCGGGTGTAGCAGGCCAGGTTCGGGGCCGAATTGACCTCGGGGTCCTTGCCTTGTCCCCATTGCGTCCAAAGGCCCCACCTGGCAGGGTCTCGGGCAGCTCTGGGGCCCCCTCTGCCAGTGTTCACACTGTGTGTGTTTCAGGGAGGAGCCCAGCCCAGGCTGCGGGGGGCTGGTGCCGCACGGTCCCTGTGCAGGGGTGGCGGGTGCAGCCGGGCCGCCGGCAGCTAACACCCCCTCTCCATACCCTGTTGCAGTCAGCTGTCGGCCACGAGTACCAGTCGAAGCTCTCCAAGCACTGCTCCCAGGTAGACTCCGTCCGGGGCTTTGGAGGCAAGTTTGGTGTCCAGGTGGACAGAGTTGACCAGGTGAGTGAGGCATTGTGGGAACTAGCACCCAGGCGATTGGGCCACTCTCTCCAGACCGGGGAGTCCGCTGGGACTGTCACGGTAGTACGAGGTGCCTCTGACTCGGTACTGTGGGGTGGGCGTTCCGACGGCAGGATTCTTAGAAGCACCTCCCCCCCGCCCCCGCCAGGTTCTGAGATGATTGGTTGGCTGGGCTAAGAATCGAGAACAGGAACGTGTAAGGATCTGTTTTGCTGTTTGCTGTAGAGATCCTCCATGTTGGTATTCATTCATCAGATGGAGTGGGGACAGCCTTAGATTTGCCTGAGAATGTGTCCCTGGGGACCATTTCTAGCCACCCTCGCTGCATGGACGTCCCTGTGACAGGGCAGTGTTCAGAGTGGGTACGGCAGAGGCCCCCCCTCCCCGCCCCGTGCCCATTTCCAGGACTAGGGCCTGGTGTCTGACTCTCTGACCGAGGACTGTCAACACCTTTGTTTTCTATCGTAGCATCTGAGAGCCTGGACTCTGGAGTTGGAGCTCAGTCTACATTCAGGCTGTGCTCCCTATTAGCCGTGGTTCTGTGTTAACTACACCACGGGGTGATGATGCCTGTCTCTCCCGGGGCTGTGCGTGCAGATGCCCCCACCGCCCGCGTTCTCGTGCCTGATGTCCGTGTTGCTCTTGGAAGAGCTCACGTGCAAAACGAGGTCACATGCGGCAGTGGGTGTTGTCCCAGGTTGACATTGTGGGCTGGAAATCGAGTGGAACTTGCTGTGCAGCTTGGCCCGCACAGCCCACGGGTCCCTGGCCCCACAAATGTCAGACACCAGGGCTTTGGGCGCTGATTAGACCTGCACCTGGCTTAGGAAATCAGAGGTCAAAAAATAACGTTCGTGTTTTTAAAAATTTCGTATGTAGTGTGGATGCAGATGAACAGATTTGGAGGCATTTAAAAATGTGTTTCCCTTTTTGTGGTACCTGCAGTCCGCTGTAGGCTTTGAATACCAGGGGAAGACCGAGAAACACGCCTCACAGAGAGGTAAGCTGCGTTGTGCTGGGGTGGGGGCGTGCTGCCCCCACTGCCCTGGGGGCGAGAGCACTGTCGCCGGAGGGGGTTTCCTGGGCAGGGCCGTGCTCTCTAAGCATCCGGGTCGCGTGTCACCTTGGCGCCTCCCAGCCTGTGGCAGAGGCTGCCTTTTCTCCCTCCGAGCGGCGTTGGCCCGGGAGAATCCGGTCTCGGGCGTGGCTGGTGGAAAGCTCACTGTCCCCCAGCAGTGGAAACCTGAGCCCTAGCTCACTGATGCTTTACTGTGCGTGTGGTCCTCACACGGCGCTGGCTCACCTTCAAGTCGTGCCGGTCTCGTAAAGCCTTTTTTGGAAACGGGAGCATGTCACTTTCCCAAAGCCTTTTTTGTGCACGGGTTTACTTTTGTGTCTTGCGTGTCAATCGGATGGCTCCGGGAGCGGGCGCTCTGTCCGTTTGGCCCCGATGGACCTTCCCAGTCCTTTCGGGAAGGGATGAGCTGCACAGCTTGCTTTATTCAGACGATTAATTTCCCGAGTGGGACCACAGCTCACGTGTGCCGTTGAGAAAGACACGCCCCTCTCGCGGTTGCCGGGGACCGCGCTGGAGACGGAGTTGGGGGTCACTCGTGGGTGACCCTGGGGGACATTTTAAACTGGGTGCTGATATCTTGCTGAGTCCTGGCTCCAAACTGTTTTTGTCTTGCTCGGTCAAAGAGCCGAAGCGACAGTTGAGCCTGTCACCGGGCTTTTTTACCGACTGCTGCCCTGTCTCCGCAGACTACTCGAGCGGCTTCGGCGGCAAGTATGGCGTGCAGGCTGACCGGGTGGACAAGAGCGCCGTGGGCTTCGACTACCAGGGCAGGACGGAGAAGCACCAGTCGCAGAAAGGTCAGGCCAGCGCGGCGCCTGCCTTCCTCCCGCCGTGTCCCGCGCGCACAGACGTCCGTCCGCACCGGGAGAATTTCTCCCCCGTGCCAGGCGGCTCATGGGACCCCGCGCAGCCTTTTTCACTGCGTGTTGGGGACGCTCTTGTCCTGTTCAGGTGAGCGTCAGGGCTTTGTCGTACGTCTGACCGCTCCGTCCCCGTCGTGCGGAGAAGCTGCAGACATGTGACCATTCCTCTTTAGAATGTGGAATTTAGGTCACTGACGATTTTTGAAGCTAAAAATCGACTACAGTGAATATTCTTGTCCCCGTGTCTCGTATACATACGTGATTATTTAAAAAAGTAAGTTTCTAGAAAAGGAATTGTAGGGTCAAAAAGACATTGAGTTTATTTATTTATTTATTTATTTAAAAGATTTTATTTATTTGACAGAGAGACACAGCGAGAGAGGGAACACAAGCAGGGGGAGTGGGAGGAGAGGGAGAAGCCGGCTTCCCACGGAGCAGGGAGCCCGATGCGGGGCTCGATCCCAGGAACCTGGGACCATGACCTGAGCCGAAGGCAGACGCTTGACGCCCCTAGGACGTTGAGTTTAAAATTATAGTGGCTACTGCATATTGTGCTCACCTACCGTGCTGATTTTTTCCTCCGTTGTTGGGAATCCTGCCCGGGGAGGGGTGTCTTCCATATAGGGTTTACAGATGCGGTCCCTCCCACGGAGGCCCTGGATGCTTGGTTCTTCTGCATTGTTTATTTCATGTGGCCTGCATATTTAATTTTTTTTTTTTTAAGTAATCTGTACACCCAGCATGGGGCTCAGACTTCACAACCCCAAGATCAAGAGTCACATGCTCTGCCGACGGAGCCAGCCAGGCGCCCCACACATGTAAATTTTATATGTAAAAACAGAGGGCTCACGTCTTATTTAAAACCCTAGATTGCCTTAAGAGACAAAAAGAGAAGTCCCCAATGGAGGCACGGCTGGCTGGGCATTTTCCAGGGACGCGGCCGTGAGGCCTACGGGGCAGCCGGGCCTCTGCTTTGCCGTGGGCGACACTTCCTGTCACACGAGGCCTGCCCGCCTGTCCTGAGACCACGGCCCCGGCACAAAGTGTGTCGCGCAGGGTCACTTTCAACTCAGCCTCCTCTGTCCACTTGGGGCAAGCCTGTCCTCTGCTGCCCGGTACGGCTCGCAGCCTGCGAATCGGGGCCTGCTCTCGGATCCACTCAGCGCTATCGGACCTTCTGTCCTATGAGCCTATGAAGAAGAATTAAAGCTGCCTCTGGGAAGTCGGGGAGCAGAAGGCAGAGCCTGTGGGGTAGACAGGGTTCCTCTCAGCCCAGGCCTCCCCCTGAGGGTCTGATCTTGGTGGTCTGTTCTGAGAGTGGCCCTGGGGGAGCCATGCTTAAGTGTCGAGGTACGTATGTCAGTGACGTCGCTTTGGGTAGAAGTGGTGGTGTTTCTGGAAGCTGCTCCGTGTGTATCTTTCTGCTGGCTTTAGTTGGTGAGGCAGAGTGACCTCGTGAAAGCTGGCCGCTACGGCTCTGGGGCTCATCTCACTCTCAGAAGCTTCATAACACACGTCTGTCTTTCCTTTTTTTTTTCCTCTTTATTTTTTTAAAATTTAAATTCAGTTAATTGACATACAGTATATAACTAGTTTCAGAGGTAGAGTTCAGTGATTCATCGGTTGCATATCACACCCAATGCTCAGTACATCTTCTGCCCTCCTTAATGCCCGTCACCCAGTTACCCCAGCCCCCCAACCACCTCCCCTCCAGCAACCCTCGTTGTGTTTCCTAGAATGAAGAGTCTCTTATGGTTTGTCTCCCTCTCTCATTTCGTTTTATCTTTCCATCCCTTCTCCTAGCATCCTCTGTTTTGTTTCTTAAATTCCACATATGAGTGAGATCATATGACTATTGTCTTTATCTGATTGACTTATTTCACCTCGCGCAGTGCCCTACAGTTACATCCATGTCCGTGTAAATGGCAAGATTTCATTTTTTTGATGGTTGAGTAATATCTTATTGTGTATATGAACCACATCTTCTTTATCCATTCATCTGTCGGTGGACATCTGGGCTCTTTCCATAGTTTGACTATTGTGGACGTTGCTGTTATAAACATTGGGGTGCAGGTGCCCCTTCGGATCCCTACATTTGTATCTTTGGGGTAAATACCCAGTAGTGCAATTGCTGGGTCGTAGGGTAGCTCTGTTTTCAACTTTCTGAGGAAATGTTTTCCGAGTGGCTGCACCAGCTTGTGTTCCCACCAGCAGTGGAGGAGGGTTCCCCTTTCTCCGCATCCCCGCCAAGATCCAACACGTTTATTTCGTGATCTCCTTTGGAATGTAGGAAAGATAAGACAATTGTTAAAATCCGTTATACTGGCCGCTCTTCACATTTCTGTTGTTACATATACAAATAATACTTCCCAGTGTTTCCCGTATTAGTGATCTTACAGTGTTCCTGAAAGACTTTTGGTTTGTGTCGTTCTGTTTTTAAGTGGGTGATAAGAGTACTTTCTCAGATCAGCTCACCGATTGTGTTGCTGCTATATAAACAGTACTTCTTGTTTGCAGATTACTCCAAGGGCTTCGGCGGCAAGTATGGCATCGACAAGGACAACGTCGACAAGAGCGCCGTGGGCTTCGAGTACCAGGGCAGGACGGAGAAGCACCAGTCGCAGAGAGGTGCCTTCCATTTTCTCCTCTCCTCTCGCCGGCAGCTGGTAGCATGATGAGTGTTGGCCAGAACAGAAAGGGAAAGTGTCCCTGGGAACCCCTAAAGTAGATGCCTCTTTTTAATTAAATACCGCAGGTTGAAATATAGCAAGTCCACAAGCGCAGCCGTTAAATGAAGAAACCATATCCTGACGCGTCTTTGGCCCTGGTGCCCCAGCAGTTGTCCGTACTAATGGCCGTGTGTCGCACGTCTGTGTTGTAAACGGGGAGATAGTGGTGGCTCGTGGGGGCTGCTTTAGGCTGCGTGCCTTGGAGCTTCGTTCGCGGGGTCTTTTGTGTGCTCATGGTACTGAGAGCACAGATCAGGCTGCTTTCCAGACACAGTCGGCGAGGCCTTCTTCCTGCAGGAAGAGAGAGGACGGGTTTAGCAGGTTATGTGGGTCTCACCGTATTAGGAACACACTGCCCGGGCTCCCCACTAACGCTAGATTGTGGCCTTTTCTTGTGCGTGTAGACTATGTGAAAGGGTTTGGAGGAAAATTCGGTGTACAGAGAGACAGACAAGACAAATGTGCTCTTGGCTGGGATCACCAGGAGAAACTGCAACTGCACGAATCCCAGAAAGGTACATTTATTATGCCTCCTCCTCCCGAGATCATTCCAGAAGTTTGTTTCCGTCCACAGGTCCATCAGTGTGCTACGTTTTTGCTACATTTCTGTCGTGTGTCATTTTTCTCTCCACCGTTTGGGGCTGTCCTGTGCTTGCCACATTTTTGAAATGCTCCCCAGCTAGCGTAGCAATGAGCCCCCCCTCGCCCCCCGGGAGCTCCTGGTAAGGGGACACCGTGCCCGCCTGTGCTCCCGGAGCATCCTGGGAACGCTGCTGTCTGCCCGCGTGTGCGTTCCCGTTGATAGAGTGTGCCGCGGGGCGCTGCCTCCGCCTGGAAGCGTGTTCTCATCAGAACGAACACCGTCCCTGGGACCTAGGCTGCAGGGTGGGGTGGGGGCCCCGTTGCGCGTGCCCCGGCTTCGCACCCGCCCTTGCAGCCAGCACCCTGGGAAGTGGGGCCGACCCGCGGGGCCCCGTGACACTTGAGTACAACGTGTCTCTCTCTCCACACGCACAGAGATGCACTCTCGTGTCTGCAGCGCGGGTAGGACCCCAGAAGGAAACCTCAAAGCATGGAGTGCTTTTTCTGAATTATTTCAGATGCAGTCCCTAACCTATTTTCAGATCTTGGCTGAAGTGTTTCGAGTTTCAGTGTGTCCTGTAACCTCGGAGCCGACTTTGGCCTCTTCGTGAGCCCGGGAGCCAGCTCCAAGCCCCTGCACTCTGTAGAGCCCTGCTTTCTAAACGATGTGTTTGATGCTTGCACTTGCTAATATGATTCTAACCAAACTGTGTTTCCTCTCTCGGTTTTCTCCACTGTTGCTGGTGGATTTTCAGATTATAAGGCTGGTTTTGGAGGCAGATTTGGTGTTCAGTCTGAGAGGCAGGACTCCTGTGCTGTGGGGTTTGATGACAAGGAGAGACTGCCCAAGCACGAGTCCCAGCAAGGCACAGCTGCTCACCAGCCCCGCCCCCGCCTCCCCTTCCGGTGCAGCCACCCCTAGCACAGACTTCAGGGGCTTAGCCTTCCGAGTTAGCCACTGTCCCTTGTCAGGGGCACGTGGGTGTTTTCAACCCGGTTTTACGCTGGAGTGATTCTGACTTGGCACCCCTTTCTGCTCCTCTGCCCCTTTAGAGCTTTGTGTTTGGTAAGATGAGTAGTTTGCAGGGTAATGTCCTCCTAACCCCGTAATGTGACTAGGGGTGGGGCGGGGTGCCCAGCAACCTTCTCCAGGAGCTCTTGCTGCTGACCGTGACCGCTGGGAGTCACCCAGTGAGCTGTTTGGTTCCTCCTGGTCCCGAGCCTTCAACCAGAGGCAAGGTGGCAGCGAGGGGCCCGGGGCCGGCGTGTTCTGTGTGGTTTCTGTGTTTCCCTTGTGGTGGTGTCTTTGGCTGGGGTGGGGATGTTTTCTGTTTGTTTTTGTTTTTTGGGTGACACCATCTACGTATAAGTTCTTCACACAGAGCCAATTAGTATGTGCTCAAAACTGAAAAGAAACGGGGAAGCTTTAGATGGAGATATTGGGACTCTGGCCAGTGCATTTGTCCTTCTTTAATTGCCGTCCAAACTTGGCCTGAGTTCCGGCGGCAGAGTTCAGGCATCCGGTGCCAGGGTCCCGGCAGGGCAGGAGCGTGCACTTGGGTCTGTCCGGCAGACGGCACGGGGACGGCCTCGGCTTTCTCCGTGGCACCAGGGCTGCACGGCGGCGTGACGGTCACGTAGATCTGTGTTGCGGGACATAAGTATTCCGCTGGTAGAATTTCCCCGTGGAATTGTTTTTCTTTTAAAAAGCAAGAGAAGCCTGCGGTTGAGCCTCCTTGTGGCGCTCAGTGGAGCAGGACGCAGGAAGGGATGCGGCCGGTCAGCCGTTGCCGGGCGGAAGACTGTGCTCTTGAAGCGGTGCATTCCCCGGCCTGTGCTGTGGCCTCCTCGCTCTCACTGCCTCCAGCCCTCGCCCGGCAGCCCTTCTGTCCCTTGGGAGAATGCGGGAAAGCATGCACACGCCTCTTTTCTGCCTCGCGCCTGCCTGCCTCCTGAATACCATTGGTAGAAACAAAACTCAGCCTTGCAAGTAAAGACTCATTGTTTGGCTGTTCTCGTTTCTTTCCGTGCTGGGTGCGATTTCTTGGGCTGTTTTTGGATCTGTCTGCATGCCTCTGCTGGCCGCACTGTGCTGGTCCTCGACCTCAGAGTAAGTGTTGTCTTGTGCCACATTTCAGACTACTCCAAAGGATTCGGTGGAAAATACGGGGTGCAGAAGGATCGGATGGATAAGGTGAGTATTTCCAATCCAGGGCCGAGTATTTTCTGTGGATAGGTCTGAGAATTTACGGAGCTTTTGCTGTGTGCTGCTCCAGGGATGGTCTCCGGTGGGTGTTGGCTCATGTGTTCAGAAGGACAGACCCTGGAGTGGTGCTTCCTGTGTGCCAGGCCTCGCCTCACGTGCCAGGGGTGTCCTGTCCTGGGCTGCACACGGCCGCGCCATGAGGCAGATACTACCCCTACCTGTTTTATAGTCGGGCGTGTGGCTGGACCACCGTTGGAACCCGGACATTTAAACTCTAGGCCAACATGACAGGCCCAAGAGCGTGTGGCTCTCTGCATTCAGCTTAGTAGTAAACCAAATTGGAAATTGGGTTCCTTGGTCACACGGGCCACGGAAGAAGAACTCACGGCCATGTGTGAGTGCTGGCTCCACGTTGGAGCACGCAGAGCCGGAACGTTGGCCTCCTGCGGAAGGCGCACAGCACAGTGTTTATCTAGAGTCAGGGCCTGAGTGCTGGGCCACCTCCTACAGCGTCCCCTTGGGATTCCCCGTTCCTCTCGCCGGGGACTCTGTCCCTTCCGACAGCTTCAGAGCCTCAGCGCGTTGGTCGTAAGCACTTGTCGGATGGCTGTTCTAGCTTGCAGCCCGGCTACGTCAGCGTGGTGGGCCTACGAGTTCCACGCTGGGGACTGGGAGCGGCTCCGTCCCCTTAGTTCAGCTGAACGAAGTCAGGCCGTCCTGCCCAGTCCTGGGCCTGGCCCCTGGTCACCGATGACGGGGCTGGTCCTCCTGCAGTCCTGCTCCATGGGGCTCACAGCTGGCCACACAGACATCGTCACCTGGGGAACCCCGCCACGTGACCGTGTGTGGGCCCCGGGAGTGAGTGGCAGGGCACAGACTTGGAACGGGGTGGGGACGACCCGGGTTCCCGTCAGTGTGCGCAAGGGGTCAGAGCCAGGCGATGACATGAGGTTGTCCCTGAGAGAGGTGGGTCCCTGGGACTTGGGTCTGCAGTGGTCCCTGGGGGTGATGGAAATGGGGGAGAGGTGTCCTGCAGGCTGGACCAGGGGACAGAGCAGGGTTCGTGTTGGGGAGTAGCAGCAGGAGAGGGTTCTGGTCAGGAAGGAGGAGGGGGGACGTGGTGTTGGGAAGACAGCACAGCTGGGACAGAAGCCCCCAGGGTGGTGGCAGAGACGACCTCAAGCGGCACAGCGTGCTGGAGAACTGGCCGGACGGGGTGGTCACCCCTGGAGCAGCGGGGGGCCATCCGGAGGCTGCAGACACCCTCTTGGCTCCAGGCTGCGGGGGTGGGCGTCCGAGACCGTTCTGGAAAGAGGCATGGCAGACATGGCAGTTTGGGCGGGCGTCTGGGAAGGGGCAGAGGGTTTGTTGAGGGCAGCCCAGCAGCTGCACTTGGAGGTGAGGCAGGGATGGCTCAGTGACCCCTGGGTGTGCAGGCGCCAGGACTGGAAGCCGCTGGGTTGGAAGGGCAGGTGGGGGACGAGGGGCAGCGGGCTGGGTCGCGTCCCCTGTGCCGCCCATGCTGCACCCCTCAGAGCAGCTGCTCACCCTCAGCTTCATGTGGCGGGTGAGCTTCAGCTGCTCGCCTCCTTCGGGCCCCCTTCCTCCTTGTTCTGTGTGGCAGAAAAGCAGCCGTGTCCAGGGCCCCAAACTTGTTTTTCCAGGAGGTGTTTACTCACGGGGAAACTGAGGATGGCCGGGGGGAGGGGGGGCGGGGCTGTGAGCCTGTCTGTGTGCGTCTGAGTCCACCTCTGGATGGACGGTCATCACTGCCCCTTTGCTGTGACGGAGTTGGGTCCCCTACAGAACAGAACGCGGGGATCTCGCACATCAGGCCCCGTGAGGTTCTAGCGTGACCCAGGGTGTTGTCCCTGGCAGAGCAGAGGCATCGGGGTCCCCGCAAACACGCAAGCCTCTCTCGGTGGCCAGGGAGGGTGGGGGAGCTTGAGCACATCGTCGGGTTATGACTGCACGAATGCCGATATGTATTTTGGCGGGGAGGGGTCAGAGCAGTTTTAGCAGATATGGGACAAAGCAACAGGTTTCCCATACACCCCTGCTTTCCCTCGTGCACAGCCCCTCCTACTACCAGTTACCAGCACCGCCCCCCCAGGGGGATGCGCTTGTTACAGGCCAGGAGCCTGTGCAGACACGTGTTCATCATGCAGTGTCCTTAAATGATGTCAGGCTTTGCTCTTGGTGTCGTACGTTGTGTGGGTCTGGGCAGATGCGTGACGACACGTCCCCTCCAGCATCACACGGGGTACTCTTAACCGCCCTGGTGCCCTCGTGTGTGGGCAGAGAGGCGGAGGTGAGACCTCTGGGCGGTCTCAGCTCTTTTGGAAGCTGCAGGGCAGGCTCCCACATTCGGGTGAGGTAGAAGCCCTTGCAGGCTGTGAGGAGGAAGGAAGGCGCTGCCCTGATTTCCCCGCTTCTGTCTTGGTAGAACGCTTCCACGTTCGAGGACGTTGCCCAGGTGGCCCCTGCTTATCAGAAGACCGTCCCCGTTGAGGCGGGTAAGTCGTGGCTGACCCCGGTGCCGCGGTTCTCCCAGGATGAACTTCCGCGCCGTGGGTGTTCCGTCGTGGGCACAGCGTGGGCTGGGAGCGAAGGACAGCGCCCTTGTTCTTGCTCACCTGGGGAGGGGGTTTTGCCGTGCCTTGACGGAAGGCCTGCGTGTCCCCGCGGACGCTCGGAGCCTCCTTTCGGACGCAGCGTGTTGCAGCGCTCTGCCAGTGGGGGTCTGTGTGTGGGGGGGGTGCCTCCCAAAGCAGAGCAGGGCCAGCCGCCCGTCTGCAGGGGTCCCCCTCACTGCCAGGGACCAGGTTCTGGGAGGTTCTAGCGCGTGCAGATGCCCCCGGCTGGCCAGTCAGGCTGCGGCCGTGATGTGAGGACCGCGTTGCTCGCCTGTGCAGAAGCTGAAGTAGACACTCTCGCCTTTTCTCTCTCTCTGGGCCCTGCGCCAGGCTGCTCCCAGCCTGTCTTCAGAGCTGGCTGCCACCAGAGAAGGTGCCCTCCACCTGCTTCAGCCGCATGGCCACACCCTGAGGAGCATTGCGGAGTTGGGGGAAATGTATAGAAAGTGGTAAATGGACGGTAGGAGGCAGAGCGTCCCCATTGTTTCCTGTGGATGCCCCAGGTCAGCGGTTCCCAGACTTGGGGGTCTCGGGACACTCTTGACACTCATAGGGATCGTTTGTGGGACTTTTGTCTTTTGATCTTTGCTGTAGTGGGATTAAAACACGAGAATTTAAGACTTTACTAATTCACTTAAAAACAAGGAAACATCACGTTAACATCATAATACTATTTGTGGAAAAAATAACCACATTTTTGAAACAAAACTCGCGCAGAAGCGTGGCATTGCTTTGTGTGTCTGTAAATCTCCTCACTCAAAGACCTTTATTCTTAAGCTGCTTCTGCATTCGATATGTTGTGGTAAAGGATGTTTAGGAAGGAGCTCTGGACTTCCCCAGGTACGCTGTTGGAAAAGAGAAGGGCGTTACCCTAGCTGCGGCTGCTCCTTTGCGACCCTGCCCTGGGACGGGCCGTGGTTTCCTGGTGCTCCCAGCGGGTCCTCTCTCTTACAGGCTGCCACATGCTTCTGGAACACGCATTGGACGTTTGCAGAGTACTAGACCATTGAGTTAGCCAAATTTCCCAATGTTGTGTTTTTCATTCTGTAGTCTCCCCAGTGACGTTCATTCACATCATCATCAGTCTTATCAGAGTCCTTAATGGAACTGGGAAGTTGTCATGCTCGGAGCAGATACAGGTTTTCAACAATTCTGATTTTTCTTGAAAGCTTGAATTTTCCCATTGATGGTAGATACTGTCGTTTTTTTTGTTTTTAATGTTTTTTTAATTTATTTATTCCTGAGAGTCAGAGAGAGAGGCAGAGGGAGAGGGAGAAGCAGGCTCCTCGCGGAGCGGGGAGCCCCATGCGGGACTCGATCCCAGGACCCTGGGATCATGACCTGAGCTGAAGGCAGACGCTTAACCATCTGAGCCACCCGGGCGCCCGATACTGCTGTTTTTCTTGACATGGTAGACTGAGTTGATTCATTTTAGAGAGAACATCTGCCAAATACCGAAGATGCACACCCGTACTTTGTCAGTTATTTCAGGGCAAAATGATGTTCCATGAAGAGTCAGCGCAACTTGCAGCTTAGCGCACAAGTGATTTTCCTCGAGACGGCCGCAGAATTTGCTTCTGTGGCCCCCTCCCACCCGCCACAGGGGTTTGGCAGATGTACAGCCCGGGCTTGAGGTTTACGCAACGTCAGTGCTTTGTACGGTGTCATCGAGGGCATCGTTAGGGAAAGCGTATTTCTCCCTTCCTGAGTGTGTGCTGGTGAAGAACGCAGGGCCGTTGGGAGCGCGAGGCACCACAGCTGCCAGGATCCTGCCGTCTGGCAGTCCTCTGGGCCGCGCTGGGACGGGCAGGCTGAGCCGGCCGCTGGGGGACGGCTGCCCGCGATGCTGGCTTCCATGGGGCGGCCGCCCTGGCGCGGGGCTGTGATCGGGGGGCGCTGCCGCTCTGAGCAGCATGCATCTCTCCTCCCCTCTGTAGTGAACAGCAGAACGAGCAACATCAGAGCGAACTTCGAAAACCTGGCGAAGGAGAAGGAGCAGGAGGACAGGCGGAAGGCGGAGGCCGAGAGGGCCCAGAGGCTGGCGCAGGAGCGGCAGGAGCAGCAGGGGGCCCGGAGGCAGCTGCATGTGAGTGTGGGGCCCGTGGCCCGGACGGTCCTCCGCGGAAAACGGCGGAAGCCTAGTTCGAGGCTTTGCTCGTAGGAACGGTAACTGCCAGCCACACGCACGGCGGGGCCTTTGACCGCCAGGTACGAGCCGGTGCTGCCCCCGTGCCCACCCGCCTCCGAGAGTCCCCCTCCGCGGAGCCCCGGGCCCCATGCGTGCCTGGCGGTCTCCGTTCTGACCGCTGGCCTTCTGGAAGCCCCTTCCTCCTGGGGAGAAGGCCGAGAGTGGAGGGAACTCCCTGTGAAGGAGCAGAGCCGCTTTCTGCTTTCTTTTTCAACCCTCGCGTCTTTCTGCACCCACACCTGTCGTGTGCGCGCGTCTTTGTCCTCCTGTCCGCCCGAGGAGGCAGGAACAGGGGCCGCCGGAGGAGAGCAGGGGCACCTGGGCGTGTCCCTTCCTCGGCCTTCCCCCCGGGCCTGGATGTCCGTGGCTCTGGTCCCCACGTTGCCACCTGAGCAGGCCACCCGTGTCTGGGGCTCCCCGTGCTGCAGCCTCGCCTTCTCCTGTGGAGTGGGGACGGCAGAACCCACCGCCGCGCCCCCGGGCAGTTGTGGAGTGGAATCAGACATAAAGCCCACGAAGTGCTTTTGTAAACTGGAAAGCTTTGTTCCATTCCATAGACGTCTCCCCCCGCAAAATCAGTAGTTAGGGCTCCAAGAACCCTCATCGAGAGGGAACGGGGGGCTGAGGAAATGAACGTGCCGCGGGCACCAGAGACATGAACTAAACACGCCCCGAAGGTGGTTCCGTCACACGCCGAGTAAGAGCCAGTTTGTGTAATTACGTCTTGTTAATTCCGTGGTTGCTAGAAACTTCCCAAGTAAGGAGCTCACAGGTTAAGTTTTGCTGGCCGGCGCATGGATGTACAGACCACAAGGCGTTTTTCCCGACACCCCGGTCTCATCGAGTAATTGCTGCCTTCCTCACTTCCTGCCTGCACGATGTGACTTCTAGTCCCGTCGGCATCTGGACGGCGCAGGACGAGCGGGCGGCTTGTGGACGCCTGTCACTGTGGTTCTGTCTGGCGCCTTTGCTTTCCTTTGTCTTGCTGTCCCTTCTGCCGTGTTGTCCTCCACCTCAGCCCCTACCCTTCGCCTCTGCTGGCCCCCGGGAGCCCTCCCCGCTCAGTCCTCACTCCAGAGTCCTCTGGGCCGTGGGGCGCTCCTGGCGGCAGTACTTGAGCACGAATCCACACGTGCTTGACTCTTGGGTCCTGCTGGCTCGCCGTGAGAATTATTCTCTGCGGCCAGCAGCTGTGGGAGGGGCCGTCCCAGACCCTCGTGCGGCAGCTCAGGTGCGAGTGGCAGCCCGGGTCTCGGGCCATGCATGCGGAGCCAGCCCGGACAGGACCCCTGCACGGGAACACGCCCGGGCCTGGGTGTTTGAGCTGGGGCTGGCTCCAGGCAGCCTGTGAACCTGACTGTCCCACTGGCAGCCCGGCGGGGCAGAGGCCGGGGAAGGTTCAGGTCCTGCTTCCGCCCCGTCCTGGTGCGGGCCCCTCGCGGCACTGTCTCTTCCGCTGTGATGCCAGGCTGTCCGCACGGGTTTTCTGGGGCTGTCATCCCACACGATCCCAGACTCTGCTTCAGAGCAACACACGTGGACCCTCTCACGGCTCTGGAGGCTCCAGAGGAGACCCGTTTCCTGGCCTTTTCCGGCTTCTAGAGGCGCCCGCGTTTCCAGGCTCGGGGTCCCTTCCAGCCTCTGTCTCCGTGGTGCTCTCTTCTGATGGGTCGCTCACATGCCTGCCTCCGTCTAGAACCATCCCTGTCGTTATGTCGGGCCCACCCGGGGAACCTGGGATTGTCTCCCACCTCCCGTCCGTAACTGCTTCCATCCTCAGTGCCTTTGGCCTTGTGAGGTCGCCTCCTCCCGGGATCTGGGGGCTGGGGTGTCCGTGTCTTTGAGATGCCATTTTTCTGTCTACTACAGCCCACTCTCTGGCCCCCAAAGATTCCTATATGTCCCACGTGCAGAACACACCCCATTTGTAGGTCCCCAGAAATCTCAGTCCCAACAGCGGCAGCTCGGAACCTTAAGGTCCTCGTCTGGTCACCTATCCGAGGTCTGGACCAGGTACAGGATGGCAGCCTGCCTGCCCCCTGTGGTTTGCAGCAGGAGGACCGGGGGCCCCTGACGTCCTGGGTATTGATGATGCATGACCTTCACTTCACCTTGTCCTTACGGTTGTGGATGTTGAGTCTCCATGCTTCGTACTCCCCACGCTCTGCTCTGGCAGTGAGCGCGGTCATGTAAGCCTGGGTGGACCTTTTTCTGGTAGTCTTCTGACTGGCGCTTGCGTTTCAATTACAGGAGCAAGCCCAAGCCCAGAAGCCAACGCCCCCAGCCTCCCCGACTCCTCAGCCGGCTCAGGAGAGGCCGCCTCCAAGCCCCGTCTATGAGGTTGGTGTTTTCGTTCAGTGTGCAAATGAGTCTGACCCCCCCCCCCCCCCCCGACCACATCCTTCCCAGGTCCATGCCACCGTGCATGGAGGGGTCCCCTACCCCACTCTGCTTGGTGCCCCTCCCCCCCCCCGCCGAGGGGACGGCCTGGGGAGGAGCCCTCGTGAGTGCTGGGGGCACGCGCCGCACGTCCAGCCTCTCTGTGTGTGCGGCCGCCCCCGCTGGCCTTCCTGCCTCCCGGGCGGGGCCCCCGATGCTGCGTCGATGATTTCTAGTTCATCTCGGTTGCGCTCTGCAGCAGTTGACACTGACTCCACTCCCTTCTGGAGACCCATTTCCCGGCACCCAGCTGCCGTCCTTCCACATGAGCCGCCCTCCCCAGCTCTCCTTCCCTCAGTCCCTCTTGAACGCAGTGTTCCCCGGCGACTGTCCTTGGTCCGTAACCCTCATTCCCGTCCTCGGTGCCTCGTGACCGCCCGCTCGCGTCCCTCACACCTGTCTTCTCTCCTGGGCTCCGAGTTACTGGGCTGCCCGCCTCACTGTCCCCCGTTCCGTCGCGGCTCTCTGCCCGGCCTCTCGGGAGCTCCTCTGCCGCTGCCCCTGTGACCACACCTGGCCGAGCCCTGCGTCCCATCCCCTCTGCCCTGGCCACTGCCCTGGGTCCCCTGCCCGCCTCTCTCATCGGGACATCCTCAGAGGCCTGGGTTGTGAGGAACAGAAGCTGCCTCAGCTTTGCTGACACTTGCAGGGGTGAGGTGTCCGGTAGCTCATGAGCCGGGCAGCTCTGGGCAGCAAGCCTGGGTCTCGGTGGCGTAGGCACAAGTGCCACCAGGGCCCTCTGTGAGCTGCTGCCCCCTCGTGGTGGCTGTGTCCTCCTGGACTCGTAGGCACTGTGGCGTGGCCTTGGGGCTCGTGACCCAGTGGCAAGAGAGGCCTTGAGCCATCTCCCCTTGTCCTGTTCCACTGCTGGGCCGGTCACTGAGGAGTTGGTCCTTGGAGAAGGCTGGAGTGACTTGCTGTCCCTAGTGGGAGGGCAGGTGGCTCCTGTGACCAGCAGCCCGGCCAGAACCACGTGATATGCCGGGGACAGTGGTGCTGATTCCAGAAGATAGGGAGTAAGGTGCCGCCGGGCAGCCCAGGATGGGATTCCCCCACACCCCCGACCTGCTCGGGATACGCGGGGCAGCCAGCACGGTGCTCCCACACCATGACCTGGCCTCGAACCCTCAGGGCGTCCCCTGCACATCCAGGGCAGACTTGACCAAAGAAGGCTCTGGGCCTGTTGCTCTCTTGCGGTTGGTCCCTTGAGCGGCTCAGTGCCTGGCCTAGATGCCGAGTTCCCTCTCCATGGCCTCCCTAGTGGCTCTCATGGGCTGCCTGAGCCACGATGGCCCTTTGCCAGCGAAAGCCAGTGCCTGACCCTGCTGGTTCTTACTGGGGCATTTCTACGTGTCCCTTGCTCTCTCTGAGCCCCCGACGGTGCCTTCAGATGGTCCTTGGTCAGAAAGATGGACTAAAGCCACTTGCTTCCATCAGGGTCAGAAATCACGACGACCGTGAACAGCCCGGTGTCGATTTCCTATGGGTGTCTGCGCTTGCCCATGGCTCACCGGCCCCTCTCCCCTTCCCCCGGAGGACGTGGGCAGACCCGAACCTGCCGGCTGGGGGTGGGGCCACGAGGCCGCGCGGCAGAAGCACAGCAGGGCTGGCGGGTCCTTGGGCGCCTCGGGCAGCCTCGGCGGCCTGGGCCTTTACTCGTGGGCCAACCTGCCCCGGGCCCTGGGTTTCAGCTGCAGGCACGGCTCGGGGCGGTGCTGTTCCCCACAGGCCGCGTGGTTTCGTCGCTGCAGGACTCGGGGGTGTCGGGGGCCATGACGGTGGGGTTGCTTAGCAGGAAATGGCACGTGGTCCTCTTAGCGGCGCTGTGCCACGATTAGAATCCGAGTGTTCTCAAGACGTGAGCAGACAGTGCCTCCTCACCCGCGGGTCCGTGCTGCGAACTCCCTGGAACTAAGAAGGAGTCCCGTGTCGGGGACCCAGCGTGGGCCACAGGAAATGTCTCCTTGACCCTCCCCTTCCCCAGGACGCGGCTTCATTCAAGGCCGAGCCCGAGCCCGTGTACAGCATGGAGGCGGCCGACTACCAAGACACCGGCGGCCAGCAGGGCCTGGCCTATGCCTCGGACACCGTCTACGAGGCCACAGAGGCCCCTGGGCACTATCAAGCAGGTACAGGGGGAGGGGCGCCCCACCAAATCCCCGTCTGTCTCTGCTCCTCTGTGAAAGTGGCATCTGTCTCCCCGTGGCCTGACCCGCCCCCCCTTGCTTGTGCTGGTGGGGTCCTCGTCTCCCCCGCTGGGAGGGTGCCAGAACCCCCTCCCCCGGGGCTCAGAATGGCCTCCCATGGGGGTTCCAGGAAGGGCCCCGGCTGCTGCGGGGTGGTGGGCAGGGAGGGGTGTGAAGGAAGAGGTCTCTGCTGCTCTCCCTTCACGGCAGCAGCTCGGGGCAGAGCCCAGCTCCAGGAAGACAGAGCATCTTGAGATCCTTTAAAAGTGATGTCTATAAAATGGGAACATTTTATACATGTTTCAGTGAGATGAATGCACAAGTCGGTCTCTCATCTTTAAAGATGAGGTTTCCTTCCCTGTATTTGGGCAGATCGAGCCTGATTCCATCCGAGAACACAGCTTAGGACAGAGCCTTGGCTTTTCCCCGAGTGCGACGTGAGGCGTTGGCAGCATGGGGCCCCTCCTCAAAGTACCAAATACGTACAGTTTAACAGCCCGTCCTCTGAAAGTTGCCTCAGTGCCCACCCAGATCGTCGTACGCCCCGGTTGGCGACCACGTTGGGAAGGGGTGGGTTTGCTCCGTAAACCCGGGCTCCTTTCTCTTGCTGATCGGTGCCCCAGGCAGGGCTGGCTGAGAAAGGCGAGGGGGCACTTTGGTTAACCCTCAGCTCTTGTCTCGGTTTATTTTTAGAGGAAAACACCTACGACGAATATGAAAATGACCTTGGGATCACGGCCGTCGCCCTGTATGACTACCAGGCCGGTGAGGGACCCACATTCCTACCTGCTGCTTGTTCTCCGCTGATGCTGCTCTTAGGAGTTTGACTCCCAGAGCGTTATTACAGTTTTTAAGAAGTAACCTCAAAGTTACAGAAACTCCCATTTTCCCCGCCATTTCTATGTCTCCTCGAACCTTTGGTTACTCTTAGCCACAGGGGTGCCCCAGGCCCCCCCGAGGCCCCAGTGTGAACTCTCCAGAACCGAGGACACTGCCCACCCCAAAGCACACTCCATCCTCCAAGTGGGAGGGTCAGCCCTGAGACACCGTGACGTCTGCCACAGGCGCCATTTTTACCAGCTGTCCCAGCCACCTCTTCTCCCGTTTGCACCGGTCGTCTCTGATCCACCCCATGGCCTCATCCTGGGGTGACCCGCAGCCCGCCCGAGGCCCTGCCCCAAGGACAGGGTGGTCCTGGGAGAGCTTCCTGCTCTTCAGTGTGTACTACATGGAGCACACGACGGGCCCCTCCATCTGTCCCGCACTGCGGTGTCCCCACCACCCCCAGTCCAGTGTGCGGGCCAGCATTTCTCCCGCTGCTGCTGAGGGCTGTTGTGTGGTCCTCCCAAGATGGTGGGCGTCTTCAGGCTGCCGGCCATAGCTCCAGGTGCACCGCCAGCCCCCGGTGGGGTATGCCCACGTCCCCCTCCCTGCTGGTGGTGCCTCCATCCTGCCCTAGGAAGAGCATGTGCACCTCCTGTTTACTTACATCTGTTTCCACATACTTGTTGGCACGGGTGTGGTTTTTGTGAAATTGGGTATCTGTAAATTTTTACACCGTGGTACATTTACCCTTGTACTTGCCGCCCCAGCTGCGACCTCGGGCTCCTTCCCTAGGCTCTCCTTGGCGCCTTGTAAGCACGCTTTCCAGTGGGAGAATGGGAGAAGCCTGGCGCCGGGGAGCCTGGGCATGGGCTCTGGCTCGCGTGCTCGGGGCTGATGTGTGCAGGGAAGGGCAGGGCAGCGGAAGGAAGGCCGTGCTCTGTGGGAAGGTTCGCTCTGCCGCCTGGCCAGGAGCCACCAGCCCCTCCAGCGGCTGCCGGAGCGCGCCCCTTCCAGCAGACCGGGCCGGGCTCGGTGTCAAGAGTGTCACCCTCCTGTCTCTCTACCCTCTCCCCTAGCGGGCGACGACGAAATCTCCTTCGACCCTGATGACATCATCACCAACATAGAGATGATTGATGATGGCTGGTGGCGCGGGCTGTGCAAGGGCAGGTACGGGCTCTTCCCGGCCAACTACGTGGAGCTGCGGCCGTAGGTGCCCGGCGGGAGGCCGGTGCCCGGATCGGAGGCCGCTGTACAAACGGCTTTTATATGTGATCCTTCTGCTGACGCTTTTGGAAATGCTCATGCCACAGAATTCGCTAGTATGTTGTAATCACACGCCTTAGGAGGACTTGGGTAATCGATTTTACGCATTTAAGGCATTTTCGTTTCTGCCAAATTGACTGTCACATGGAGCCACTTCAGGGACCCTCGGCTGTCCTGAGTGCATGCTGTCCTTGCCCCACCGGTGGCGGTCGGGACCCCTGCCACGCTGCCTGTGCTCGGACCGGCCGCGCGCTGTCGGGCGGGAGTCACCGTCCCCGGCAGAGGGGGCACTGACGGGAGGCTGGGCCTGAGAGCAGGGGTGCAGCGGGCGGCGGCCTTAGCTCCGGGTGGGAGCGCCTTCGTGTTTCCCCAGGCCTGCACTCTTTCCCCTCCCTCCCTTGTCCCTCTCCTGACACCTGCCGCCAGGAGGGCCGCCCCTGTCGCGGCTCCTGCCCCCGAAGCAGCGTCACCCAGTGCTGCGCACACGGCCCTCCCCGGGCAGCCCCCGGCGGCCCCCTGCGGCTGAGCCCTGTGTCTGCTGGGTCAGAGGATGGCCCCCGCCGTGGGCAGGCAGGCGCCTTCCCTGTCGTACCCTGCCAGAAACATTTTTTCCACCAAGGCACTCGTGTTTGTTGTGCCAAAATACCACGCATTTGACAGTCAAATGCGATCGATTGACTTGGCTAAAGAGTGAAGCAGAGAGTGCGTTCTCCCACCCAGGATGCTCCCCGTGGACGCTGCCTGGGAGCACATCACCCTCCTGAGAGCCGGGGAGGCCAGGTCAGTGCTGGCACCGGTCCGGGGCAGTCTTTCCGGAAGATTCTGTTGCGGTGTCTCGGGTGTTGGGGGACATGAGCGTCTACTTCCTGAAGTGCGTTTCTGCATAATCCTTGCTTTACCACAATTAGGTCGGGTTTTATATGCAATTATTGTATCTAAGTTTCTGTAGCACACATCATAGGTATGATTTTTTTTAAATTAAATATTCAAAATAAACTTTTTTTGATCCACTTGCTTGCTGATGTTCCTCTGGTATTGGTCACTTTGTTCCACTTAGAAGTTGGCTTCTTGACCCTTGATCTTTAATTTATCAGCTTTTGACAAACTAAAGATTCCCTCTCTAAGAAGCATGCTCCTTAAAGGGCACTTTTTATGAGAGGAAATGTATTTACACTCTGATATTATTTAGACAGGAATTTCAAGCAAAATAGAAAACCCCTTCTATTTAAAAATCATTTTGGAATTAAGAGTTCTCACAGTAAATCCCGAGGTGGTTATAGTGGGGCTGAAGGCACTGTTCTCCTCTGGGGTGCAGTACGTTGAGGTTCGAAGCAGCCGCTGAACGTGGGGCGTGTGGAGGCTGGCGTGGGTGTCATGGGACGGACAGACTCCGTGAGCCGGTTTGGACCGCCCAGCTGGGTGGTCGTCCACTCCCGGTCACGGGTTCTGCGTTGGGGTCCCGCCAACATGGCGGCGGAGGGGCCGTGTGCACAGACCTGGCTCCCCAGGTGCCGTGGGGGTAGGCGGGCCTCTCCTTGTGGACGTCTGTGTGGTGGGACGGGGCGTGGAGCCTTCTGGACGTGCCGCCCTCACCGTCCCTGGAAGAAACGGAGGACAGCGCAGATCACGGACAATCCAGGGTCGTGCCGTCCTCCATTTACGGGAGCTGGGGGTCACTCACCACCGCCACAGGTCTGCCGGGACCCCCTGTGGGTGGAACCCTGCGGGGACTGTCGTTTGGTGGCCGGCCTGTGTCGCTCAGCATCACGTCCTCCAGGTCCGTCCCTGCTATGGCAGGTGTCCGCGCGTCCTTCCGGGTTACGGCTGTGACAGTCCATCGTGCAGATGGGCCCCGCCTTACCCATCTGTCGGTGAACAGTCGGCTTGCCTCCACCATCTGGTGGCTGTGTCTCCCACCTCCCACCCACTCCATCCAGCTGCCCACTGGCGCCCCCTCAGGGGCCGCAGTGGACCGGAGCTGTCCTCATTCCTGTCTTCACGCCCCCCACCCTCCTGCCGCACGTGTCTTGGGACCATCCTCCGCAGCCGCTCCCGGACCCCTGTTCCCCTGTGCTCTCGTGGTCTTGAGGCTCTCTCCTGACTCTAAACGTCGGGGTGCCCCAGGGCTTTGTCCTCGAGCACGTTCCTGGTCTGTCGGCACCCACCCTTGGGGATGGCCCTGCAGACCAGGCCTCCCCCAGGATGTCGAACTGGCTTCTTGGCTTGGCTCCTGCAGGCTGGACTCCAGTCTTGCCCCAGGCCGGTGCCTCCCGCAGACCCTCGCCTCAGCGCAAAGGCGGCTGCATCCTTCCCTCGCGGATGACCATAGCCTCGGAGTCGCCGGGCTCCTTCCTTCTCCCCTCTGCCCCATCTGCTAGCAAGTCCTGTCGGCTGTGTCCTGAAGCACGGCCCACCTTCCTGCTACCACTCCGTGGAAGTACTTCACCCCTTGCCTGGGTTATCGGGATAGCTCCCTCCCGGGTTTCCTACCTCCTCTGCCCTCTAAAGATGTTCCCTCCCGGGCTGTGACCCTGGAGCAGCTCCCGTGTCCCCGGGAGTCAGGCTGCGGTCCTCCCGCTCTCCCTTCTGATGAGCCAGCCCTGAGGCCTTTGCACTGAGGCTTCCTTCTGCCCAGGACCCCACAGGCTTACTCCCTCACCTCCAGCCAGTGCACTCTCAAGGGCTACCCTGACCCCTCCTTAAAACTGCAGGTCTGAACCTCAGCGGGGCCCCGGTCGCCATCTCTCAGAAGCAACGTTCTGGAGAGTGGCTCAATTTCCAGACCGACTCACTGAGTCCTGTTTAATTCATTGTTCAATACAAACACCATACACTTTTAATCCAAAATACTTGTTAAATCTTTTTAGCTTCCCGCCCCCCCAAATCAATTCTGAAATCACCTTTATCTTGAGTATTGTTGCCTGAGACGGGGGCTCCTGTAGACCAGGGGTGGAAGGACGGGGAGGTGGAGGGTCCTGGGAGGACTGCACGCAAATGCTGGCCCCTTTTTAGTATTTATTTGACTGTTGCTGTGTTTGGCTTACATTTCTTATATTATAAAAGCAGTATGAGTTCACGTCGAAAACAACGCAGGTAGTGCCATGAGGTCTGGTGTAAAAAAGGAAACCTCTTCCTCCTCTGTCTTCTCCCTCACTCCCTGACGGGGATTTTGTCAATGATTTATGGGAATTTTAGGGACAAATTTCTCTATATACAAGCACATGCATTTATAACAAGTAAATTTTTTTTAAAGATTTTATTTATTTATTTGACAGAGAGAGAGAGAGCGCACACACAGGCAGGGGGAGCGGGAGAGGGAGAAGCAGACTCCTCGCTGAGCAGGGAGCCTGATGCGGGACTCGATCCCAGGACCCCGGGATCATGACCTGAACCAAAGGCAGACGCTTAACCGACTGAGCCACCCAGGAGCCCCTATAACAAGTAAATTTTTTTTTTTTTATACACAGGTTCGCACTGTGCTTTGCTTTCTGCAACTTGCTTCTTTAACAAGAGATAGATTTTGTCCATCTTGGTCACATCCTTTTTTGTATCCTCTGTGTAGAATTTCACTTAGGAATGTGACAATTAGTTGAGCCCCACGGATAGACACTTTGCTGTCAGAGACGGCACCTCTCTGTCTCACTGCACACTTGGGTACAAGTATGTGGAGGAGGAACATTGAGAAGTGGGCTGGCAGAGTGCAGCAGAGACTGGTCACCTCTCCCCACTCCCTCTGACTGACCCTCCCAGCTGACATCCGTTGTCCTCAGAGTTGCAGCCCAGTTGAAAGACGTATTTTTCCATCCCTTGCAATTAGATGTGGTCGTGTGACCGGCTTGGAAGTGAAACTTCGTTGTGGAGGACTTCTGGGAATGGTCCATACAAAGAGGACTGACAGCGGGAGTATCTTTTGACTTCTTCCCTCCCTCCATTTCTCCTTTCTATTGTCCAGAATATAGGTGTGATGGCTGGAGCTCTGCCAGCTCTTTTGGACTATGAGGCACTTTGAAGGTACCTTCTGAGGATAGTGGAACAGAAAGACAGAAAGGGCCTGGGTTTGTGACAACATCAGGGAGCTGCCACACTAGTCTTGCATGCTTCAGTACTTTTTTTTTTTCTTTTAATGAGGCAGAGACAAACTTATTCTATCTAAACCATAATTATTTCCAGTATCTGCTACAAGTGCAAACAGTTTCCAACTGACTCGCTAGGTCAATGAGTATGAAATTTCCCTCTTGAAAGGTTTGCACATGAGAGCACGTTTCTTCTTACTTTCACCAAATTCAAGTATTATAAAAATTTCAGGTCTCTGACCATCTTCTAAATGAAAATGCATATTCTTGTTGCTTGTGTTTCATTTTACTTCCAGGGAATGGCCCCCTTTCTTTCCTTCCCTCTCCTTTTATCATCTGCTTGCTTCCTTTCTTACACACGCATAAGCGACTCACAACAGGCTCATGGTGACCATTCGAACAAGAACTTTCAATTCTGGAAATACCTGGAACTGGACATTATGATAACCTTCTTGCCATAAAATGCCAAAAACAGTACATAAATGGTAACCAACATCTTTTAAATGTAGAGCTGAGGTGGTAGGAAGGTTAAGAACATCCTCAGGAGCCAAACAGAAAGCTCGGCCTCCAGTCCTGATGAGCATGAGGTCATCAGCATGCGGCAGGTGGAGCCTGGAGTGGAGGGGTTTGCCTGCACACAGGGCGGAGGCACGGTTTGAGGCCCAGCGGGGTGCACTGCTGGGACAGAGGACCCCAACAAAGCTGGGGCCCTTAACGGAACATTGCCTCGAGGGAAGGGTAGCAGGGTAAGCCTGTGCCCGTCGGCAACGCCAGAGATACCAGTAACTTGTCTGTCTAGCCTGCAGGTCCGGGTAGGGAAAAAGAGGTGGTGTGATGTTTGGTCAAGATTTTGTTCAAAGGAGATTAACTGCAACTGATGAAGTGGAAAAGGCGAGCTTGGCAGAACCCCCTGAGTGGCGCAGAAAGAATAGAGGAGGACGTTAGGGCAGATGTTTTCCCAAACTAGCTGCTGGGGGTGACCTTAACTCGGGACAGCTTGGTTGCCCTCTCACTGAGCAAATAGCGATTTCCTACTATATCCCTGCCTCTTTGCTTAAGAATTGGGGATGCAGAGGGCGCCTGGGTGGCTCAGTCGGTTAAGCGTCTGCCTTCGGCTCGGGTCATGATCCCGGGGTCCTGGGATCGGGCCCCGTATTGGGCTCCCTGCTCAGTGAGGAGCCTG